TGTTGTAAAAGAAAAATAAAGTAAGAAGAGTATGCTTCAATCTGTATTCAGGCATCGTCAGTTCTTTGGGAATATTTTTCACTATAAGTCCTTCAGAGTTGTTTCTGAAAATAGCTATCATTCACAGCTAATCATCTTACAGTATTGCTGTTACTTTGCACACAGTCCATATCACTTTGCATCAGCTCATGTATGTCTTCCCAGGTTTCTCTGAGAGCATCCTGCTCATTATTTCTTGTAGTTAGTAGTGCTATAGTATTGCATCACAATCACAATAGTATTCCAGTAGTATTCTGTCACAATCACATAGCTCAATTTGTTCAGCCATTTCCCAATTCATAGGTATCCTTCTGATTTCCAACTCCCTGCCCCCAGAAAAGAGCTGCTGTAAATATTTCTGTACATATAGATCCTCTTCCTTTTTTTTTTATATTTTTTGGGATACAGACCTAGTCATGGCACTGTTAGGAAAATGACCGCTTTAAAAACGATTTGGGGGGCAGCTAGGTGGCACATTGGGTAGAGCACCGGCCCTGAAGTCAGGAGGACCTGAGTTCAAATACTGTCTCAGACCAAACACTTGACACTTACTAGCTGTGTGACCCTGGGCAAGTCACTTAACCCCAATTGCCTAAAAGCAAAAATAGATAAATAAATGGAAACAATTTTGAAAACTGTGAGAACTATGATCAGTACAGTAACCATTCTTGATAATGGACAACCAATGATGAAACATGCTGTCCATTACAGAGGAGTGATGAATTTAGGGTACAGAATAAGAAATGTACACATATTTGAGCATGTGCATGCATGTGCTTGTGTGTGCGTACACACACACACACACACACACACACACACACACACACACACACACACACACATATACATTTGTGTATAGCCATTGGAGGAATATGTTCTGATTATGTGTAGAAATTTTTTTTAGTAAGTTGGTAAGTGGGAGGCAGAGAAATAGATTGCTGTTGATTTAAATTAAATTTTTTAGATTTAAATTTAAAATTCTTAATGTTAGGAAATAAACGTGGGCCTGCTGCAGGTGTGAAATGTTGCATGCAGTGTTAGGTGAGACCACTATATAACTAGCTTTATTTAACTGGTTTAGTTTGTTATAAGAAACTTTTCGTGGAGTTGCTTTGTTGTTATTCAGTTGTTTCAATCATGTCTGACCGCATTTGGGATTTTCTTGGCAAAGACACTGGAGTGGTTTACTATTTCCTTCTCTGGCTCTTTTTACAGATGAAAAAACTGAGGCAAGCAGGGTTAAGTGACTTGCCCAGAGTCACAGAGCTAGTAAATGTCTGAGGCCAGATTTGAACTTAGTCGGCTTCCTAACTCCAGGCCTAGCACTATATTCGCTGCCCCATGAAGTAGCAGTAATAACTAAGTGTATATGAGGATCCCTGTGAGACGCATATTAACTTTAGTTTTAAAATGTAATATTATCTGTGTTTTATTGTATTTTTATTGATTTTGTTAAATATTTCCTAGTTATGTTTTAATCCAGTTTAGGCCACACTCAAGACTATTGCAAGCCTGTGTCCGACACCTCTAATCTAAATTATCCCGGTTATGGGACAGCTAGGTGGTGCAGTGGATAGAGCACTGGCCCTGGAGTCAGGAGGACCTGAGTTCAAATGCAGCCTCAGACACATAACATTTACTAGCTGTGTGACTCTGGGCAAGTCACTTAACCCCAATTGCCTCACCAGAATAATAATAATAATAATAGTAATAACAATAATAATAATAAATTATCCTGGTTGATTACTATTCTAAACTATATTTGAGATTGTTATTTAGAAGAGTCATCTCTATTGGAGCATTTGTCCTATGAAGAAGAAATTCCGTAGTATGCTGTTTCTCTCCAGAAAATAATTTAATTCAACAAATACTTAATAAATGATTAGGTACTATGCTATGTATATGTCACAGGGATTAAGGAATGAAACAAGATACTGTATCAGCACTCAAGAAGCAAAATATTCTAAATGGGAAGAGGATGAGTTATGCACAAATTACTGAGCTACAGAGCAGAATAAATAAGTACATGCATGGTAGCGTAGAGAGCCCTGGATTTGGTGTCAGAACCCGAGGTTAACCTCTCCCTCTGCCATTTATTGCCTGTGTTTTCTTGGGCAAGTCAGTTTGCCTGTAGCACAATGGAAAATATGCTATATTTGGAATCAGTGGGCCTGGTTCCAAACCCCCAACTTTGCTGCTTAATAGTGGTGTATCCTTGGATAAGTCACTTTTAACCTCTGTAGACTTGAGTTTCTTCATTGTAAACTGAGGGGATTATACTAGATGGCTTCTAAGCACCCTTCTAGCTCTAATTATGTTATTCTAAGAGCAAAAGACAGGGGCATCATGCTGTGACTGTACATAGTGTGTATATCCACCTGATCACATGCCCATAGAATCTCATCCAACTATGTCATAAGTTCCTTAAAGGCAAAAGTGGGTTTGTTTTGATTTTCTTATTCCTTCCCCCCACCTTGCTCAGTGCCTTGAATGTTGCAGGTACTTCTTAATGCATGTTTTATGAATTAAATCTATTCTCTCCTTCACTCTCACTGCCAGCATTCATTAGACAAACCTATACTACAGCAGTAATCTTCACCCTCTTGCTCACTAGATTTTACCCTACTCCTAGACTAATCTTTCATACCAATAGACCTGGTAAAATTTTGGCATAAAAGGGACTTCCACAGTCTGGCACCATTCTGCCTCTGGACTTAATCTCCACTATGCTGTGCCCAAGCCAAAGTGTCCTACTTTGTGCCATGAATATGCTATGCCCTTCACCATGCCTTTGCATACATCGTACCCTATTCTTAGAGTGCCCTTGTCTTCTTTAACTGATTTACTATCTGTCCCTGAAAACCCACTCAGATAACATCTGGGCCGTGCAGCTTTCACTCTTCCTCTGACTTCATTTTTGTTGTTGTTCAGTCATTTCAGTCATGTCCAACTTTTGCAGCACCATTGGGATTTTCTTGGCAAAGATATCGAAGTGGTTTGCTATTTCCTTCTCCATCTCATCATACAGATGAAACTGAGGCAAATAAGGTTAAGTGACTTGCCCAGGGTCACACTAGTCAGTATCTGAGGTTAGATTTGAACTTGAATCTTCCTGACTCCAAGCCTGGTGCTTTATGCACTGTGCCACCTAGCCATACCTGAAACTTGTTATTCACTTGTATCCTATTCTTTGTGACCCCATATGGGGTTTTCTTGGTGAGGATACTGGAGTGGTTGCCATTTCCTTCTCCAATGGATTGAGACAAACAGAGATTAAGTGACTTGCCCAGAGTCACACAACTAGTAAGTATCTGAGGCTAGGTTTGAACTCTGGTCTTCCTAACTCCAGGCCCAGCATTCTGTCCACTTTGCCACCTAGCCACCTGTTCTGACTTCATATAGCCCTTTATTTTGAAACTGTTTCTTAACGCTGTTATGTGATGACCTATCATGCAGCCAGACTGTACATTCTCTGTGAGAACAAAAACTTCTTATCTAGATTTTTACTCCTACCCCACCCAAACCCTCCATAGTATAGTGCAGTGTTAAATAAATGTTCGGTTAAATGAATTAACAAGTTCAATCTTAAGCAAGAAATCTATATCAGAAAGATCTTACCACCTTTGAAATGCAGTCTCAGCTGACATGTCTTCATGTTCAGTAAGGTACATTGTTTTGACAATTTGGTTAGATTATAGTTATCTTCTTTTATAGTTTCAGGGCTAATGTATCTTTATATAACAAATTTTAATACAGAACCACCAATTTAAGATTAGATTAAAATTAAATTAAGATTAAAAATCATTTTAAGATTTATTACTATAAATAGAAGCAAGTTAGTTTAGTGTATAGAGGTCCTACTTGGAGTTAGGAAGTCCTGGGTTCAGATCCTGCCTGTAAGAGCTACATTATGACTGTAGGGCAAAAGGCAGGTGGCTAGACTTTTCTGTGACTTAGGCAACTCCTTAAGTTAGAGAGCAATTGCTCATATGCTTCTCTGGAGGGTAAAATCACAGGTTTGCAATTTCTTTAAAAAGTTAATATAAAAGAAAACCAAAACCAGATTTCTGTCAGTCTTTTGTCTTATTTTCCATATTCAGCATAAACTTGATACTATACCTGATTTTCTAATTCTTTCTCATCTTTACATTTCATCTATAGCAAAAACATAAATTCCATAAGAAATAGGGGCAGCTAGGTGGCACAATGGATAGAGCACCGGTCCTGAAGTCAGGAGGACCCGAGTTCAAATCCAGTCTCAGACTAAACACTTGACACTAGCTGTGTGACCCTGGGCAAGTAATTTAACCTCAATTGCCTAAAAAAAAAAAATTATGTGTGTATGTGTGTGTGTGTGTGTATGTATATATATATATGCATGTGTATATATATGTATGTATATATGTGTATATATGTATATATGTGTGTGTGTGTGTATGTATATTTATGTGTATATATATATAAAATCTGAACATTAAGAAGAGTAGAAAGAAGATGTGGATAAATGTTTGCCTATCAAATTTTTATTTGTAACCAATTCTGTGAAATTTTAGTATAAAGTTTTAGTATGAGAAAGCATTTAAAAATATATCAGGCTGAGTTTTCCAAATGCCAATATTGTGTAGATTTTGTCTTGTAATTTAAATTTAAAAATAAATGAATATAGAATTTTAAAAAGTATAATCTCAGTTAGCTCCTCCCCTCCCTTCATAATGTCTTGATAACAGCTACATTTGGAAATTGTATTTTAAGGTTGGGAGGAGTGAAGTTGGATTAGCCAAAGTGTTCAGTTGGAGTTCAATTTTTCTTAAATTCTACCTTCATTTCATAAGTTAAATAACATGCTATTCAGGTAGATAAATATTCTGATTTTGGCAGGAGAGAACCAGGTGAATTTTTTTTTTAAATTTAGATTATTATTTTAATTTGAACCTTTGTAATGAAGCATAATTCTCTCACAGGACCGAGGTGATGAATTCACTTATACTGGAAGTGGTGGTAGAGATCTGTCTGGTAATAAAAGGATTGGAGAACATTCATTTGATCAAACATTAACAAACATGAACAGGTAAAGAGATTTTGTATACTTTTAAGACATTCAGATTTTCACTTTTGTGAAAATGAATTCTAATATACCTTCATCATACATAACAGACTAATGGAAAGAATATGAAATGTGTTTCCAGTTGAAGTAGAAGAACATTTAGTACCTGCTGCTTGAGTGGCACTGTGTTAGGTTCTAAGAAAACTCAGATAAAATCATATAATACCTGCCCTTAAGTTTGCAATCTACTTATTCCTTACTGAGACATTGCCTCATTCTAGAGCCACAGACAGGAACCTTCCTGTTTGTATTGTTTCCATTAAGTTGATTCCCAGCCATCTCCCTCTCCCTCTACTTCTTGTATTATAAAAAATAATGAAGTTAAAACACATGGAAATACTTTTAAGTACCTTGAAGGTTTTACATTATATTTTTAAAGTAAACTAATTTAAAGCCCAGTAGTTTTAATTACTCTTGAATATATAAATACTGTAGAAATAAAAACACCGACCAAGTTAAACTTACATTACATTAAATTTAAATTTACTTTAAAATGTGTATGAGTAGAAGAATTATAATTTTACAATGCAAGCTTATTAATCTGTTAAGTAGGATAATATTTATAGACACAGATGCCACAAACTAGAGTTACTTAGGTTGTTCCATATAATTTTATATGTTAAGCTGAAACCTCATTCTAATGTAATCCTTTGAATCCATGCAGTGGGATTTTTTGTTAAGTGAAATTGCCATATAATAATGGCATTTTCTAGGAATAGGGATAAAGACTAGACTTGTGATATCATTGGTCTGAGGAGAATCTTAAAATTAAAAGCGTTTTCAATACTACCCTTATTGAATGTAATGTATGAACATATTTGTATATAATAGACCATAACCATTTTGTTATTAAGTAACTCAACCTATAGAAAATAGTATTTTCAGTAGATTCTTGTGTACTTGGTATACAGCATATTTAATTGATTTAAATTATTTGATTTATATTTGATGTTTTTATCCCCAGTGTTAATATAAATATTAGATACAGTAAATACTTTGGCAAAATATGTGAATAAATGACTGCATTATCATTTACTGGTTTAGTGTTTTAGTATTAAGTGATTCTATGAGAATCTTTGTCATAAAGAAATAAGTTTGAAAATTCTTTTGTCTGTTACATATCTTAACTGAAGGAATTTTGTGGGTAACTGAGCAAAAGCCAAATTGTTGACCACTTTTCAATAATTATAATATTTCTTGGCTTAGAATTATCACAATTTTGTTCCCTTGTTATTGATTATTATATCAGCATAATTTCAAAGATTTATATGTCAGGTTATATAGAACCTGTTCACCTTCCAGGTATTCCTTCCACATTATTCCAGACAATAAGGTTGTATTTTTTCTAAACCAGCCAAGGACACAGGAAAAATCTGCTAGGGGTGGTATTTCTCAAGCAGGAGTTTGAGCCTATGTTCATTTTCGTTTTTTCCCATGTACAATGCCTTCTCCTTAGCCAAAATAATCTTTTTTCAATGTTGGGAGTGTTTCCACTAGTTTCATTTTTACATGTTTTAAATCTTTTTTTTGAACATTTATCTTCATAGAAATTTCCCTAAGATCTGTTTTTTAAGCTTTCTTCAGAAAAGTGCACCTTCTTTCTTCAAATGTGTAGGAAGATGATTTTATTTGAATACTACAAATCTCTTATTACAAACCATCATTTGTAATATTTAACTTAAAATTCTTCTCAAGTTCCATAAGTGACAGAAGAGAAGCTAAATAAGTTTAACGTCTAGTTTACCACAAAATATATTTTAAATAGGTAGCCAAAACTGCACCAATCTGAACATTTTAGACTTCTAGGATTTTGTATGGTTAGAATATTGACCTCTGTGGCTCATATTAGTGAGGCTTGGAGAACAAGTCTAAACATATCCTATGAATTTCAGAATTTTGGAAGAGATCTTAAAGATAATGTGGTCCAACTTGCTGATGTTTTGTCTTCCTTCAAGCTTTATCTGATTTATAGGACCTTATCTTTGGACATTGGACCAGTGCTAATCTTGAGCATATTTTGCATCCACAGTCAATAATCATTTTGAAGCGTGTGCACCCTGACTGCCATGATGGATGAGTCATATACCCCTTTCTCTCTAGCTCCCTTACTGTAAAAAGGCTAATAATAAATAAAGCTATAACCTTAGTCAGTTCTATTGTTATTACCACTATTGCCCTCTTTTGTCAAAAAGCCGTGGAAAAAATGGATGGCTAAGGTACCATTACTCTAACAACCCAAACAATGGAAAAGTGTATTTGACTGCTGGTATGTTTATTCTCTTTCCACTCCAACTCCTTTGAAATAATGAGTAAGGAATTGGTACTTATTTAAAATTATGAAATAATTCCAAGTAACATGAAAATGTAGAATACTTAACTCAGTAATGCCATTTAATTATGACAAAGGAAATATTTTGTGGCTGCAGGATGTGAGATGAACCTGTGTCATTTAAGAAAAATATTCTTTCAGAGTTGTAATCATCAAGATTATACTTATGTTGCTTATCAATATTTCAGGAAAATTAGAATATATCAGACTTACTATGCCAGGCATACCAGAACTGAAGATACATTTTTCACATGAGGAAAAACTGAAAGTTGTAGTCATCAGAGAACAGATAAATTTAAATGGTTCTTACACGGACAGACCCTTATCTTTTTTAGTGAATCATTTCCTTGGGCCTTTTCAAATATTAAGTGGGTCGGAATTTTTCTTATGCAGAGAAATAAGCATAGACTTAATGATAATTTGTTAGGTATTATGTGCCAACTTTTTTTTAAACTTAATTTGAAGCAGAGTACATAAATTTTGTTCCTCAGGAATCTTGTTGCTTAGGTATTATGTTAAAAAAATAAAATAAAATTTGATGGACTTGCAATAGTGTAGTTACTAGTCTTTATACAAAGAAGATTCAGTGAAGCATAGAGTGAGGGTTCTCTCCTCTGTCCTATTTTCAAAGTATACTTGAATAATTTTGTCCCTTAAAATTCTCATACTGTAAAAACAAGTCTCAGTGTTAGCCCAAGGTTAGAAAACTTTTTTCTTTTCAGAAGTACATATTCTTATACTATAGTCTATCCATCAGTATTTTATAACACCCTCAGAGGACCACTAACTTGGCCTGATTTGTTAGCTACTAAGACTTTTATAGATGCTGTTAAAGGAAAAATAGCTCCTTAACTTATTCTATTTTGAAACTATAATTCCAATCAAGAGTTTTATCATTTGGGTAGGTTATTGATCTACTTTGAATATTCACATCTTTCATGTTAGTAAATATAGGACCATGTCCTATGTAGGAAAGATGTCTCTTTCTTTGTCCAAGGTTGACACTGGTTGATGCTTGTTTTTTAATGAAAGTTAGCTACTTTTTCCTTCTTTGAATTTAGTCTTCTCAATCTTATCATTTCCCTAACATCAAGAAGTAGATGTTCTTATAGATTAGGAGAGTAACAAAACCATCTAAAAAGCTCCTAGTTAATTATACTTAAAACTAATAAACTCTTTATCTAGAAAAGGTCTTTTAGAAGCTAAAATTTCTATTGCTTCCTTGCTATATTAGTCTTTTGAGGAAGTTTTGATCATCTAATCAAATATTTCTTTCATAAAATGTACCACCTTCCCTGTATCATATTTGTAGATTGTCAATATCTAGATCTACCAAAGATTCTGAGCTTCTTTGATTTTCATCTGGGTATTTAACTTATGTTCAAATGCATCCTTTTGCTGAAGGCCTTTTTAGGAAGTTATTCTTAAATAAGTCTTTCTTGGCTTTAGTCTTTTCTAACAAACATTGCTTTAGAAGTATCTATTGTCTGGAATAATGTGGAAAGGAAGCTTAGAAAGGTCATTTTTGCCTTATTTTATAAATCTGGTTTTCCAGAATTCTTTCCACGTTATTCCAACAATCCCCTCTTCCCCAATCAAATAATAACTCGAATAAAATCCCATAACTGAAAAGTGGTTTGCTTGCTTTAGTTTTCCAAGGTTCCCCATTCTCTCAACACAAATTATTTTAAGAAAAAAATACCATGTGTTTCCAGTTGTTTTCTATTATACATGGCACAGATGTTACTACTTTAAAGAAGAACCCACAGGCTCTCTGGGAACCACTCCCCTGGCTTTGGGGATGGCATCAGAAAACTGATTTCTCTGTCTTCTCTGCTGGTTGGGGAAAGCATAATCCTAATATCTGGAATAATATGGAAGGAATCATAGACTCTAAGCCATCAGGTAAGGCAAAATTCACCTTTTAATTTGGCTAATGATATGATATCATCATGTACTTGTGGAAGCATGATTATATGGTATGAAGAAGACTTCTTTATGTTTTCCTTAGGGCATTAGCCCTAAACTGTGATGCTCCATTGGATAATAAAAATGGAGGAGAATCAAAGAATTGGAGAGCCGGTAAGCCAGTTCGAGTGATACGCAGTGCGAAAGGCCGGAGAATCAGCAAATATGCTCCTGAGGAAGGCAACAGATATGATGGAATTTACAAGGTGCTCAATCTAACATGACATTATTTTGTTCATTAAAACAGCATTCTGACTGCTGTCCCTAGCCTGCTATTGCAGAAGCACTAGGGAAGAAATTAAGAGTAGCAACATGTCATTTCTCCTGAGAACTTGCTTATATCCCTTTTGGGAATATCTAGAAGTGTAATAAATTAATGAAGAGCAAACTTTTCATGAAGTACTAGTATAATAAACGTGACTGATTTATAATAGCCTGGGAAGTGCTTTGACAGAGATTTGCCATGTTTGGAACAGGGACAGTAGTGGAGCTTATGTTTCTTAAACTGCATATATTTTTGCATTTTAAAAGAATAACTTAAGCATTGAAGAATTTTATTTTTATTATAATTAGTTTTCTTTTCAGCATGAACACAGGGTAGCATCAATTCAGGAAATGAAACAAATAGTTACAGATTCGTAAAGATTTCTGAAATTAATTGTGCTTATTAGTCCTGATTAAAAATAGGCATATGTCCTTTGTATGTGTGCTTGGGATTTTTTTTACTCTTTTGGGAAATCAATTTTGTATTGAAAAATTTTTTCAGTATGTATACTATGTAATAGTCTACCTCGCATCACTGTGTACTCATCATTGTATACTCAAAATGTATCTATTTTAACAAAGTAGATACATTTTATATTAAAATAGTAAAAATAGTAAAGTTAAAGAATTAGGGCAAAGAAAAAAGTTTTACAGTATTAAACTCTTTATAGCTATGTACTCATCACTTTCTGTATTCAAAATGTAGCTGTTTTGGCAAAATAGATACATATTATATTTAAATAGTGACAAGAATAAAGTTAAACAGGTAAAAGAATTGTATTCTACAGAATAATTCTTCTCCTTACTCCTTCTTAGTATTTGTGTTAGTTTGTATGTGCCTCCTAAAATGAGAAAACTGATATTGGCAAGTCTCTTCCCCCTTCTTAAATTTGAACAACTAATGTGGCAAACATTATAAAACGTGCTAGGCTCTTATATGATTTAGGTGGTGAAATACTGGCCAGAAATTGGAAAATGTGGATTCTTGGTTTGGCGCTATCTTCTGCGAAGGGATGATGTTGAACCTGCACCTTGGACCGCGGAAGGAATAGAACGGTCAAAAACCTACGTCTAAGTGTTCAGGTCAGATTACATTTACAGACGTCACCTTTTAAAATAAATATACGTGTGTGTGTGTGTGTGTGCGCGCACGCCTTTTACACAATTATTAAGTACTAACTGTGACCTAGGGAGGTGGTTTGGGCTGTGAGCAGGAGGAGGGAATTGTGAAGGAGCATGGTGGCAGAGGTAGAGGGAATGCCTCGGGAACAAAGAAGGAAGGATTGTGTCCCAAGAGTAGGAATTTAGTCTAAGACTATTAGTCCTGGGAATGACTGGACAAATTGTGGTATATGATTGTGATGAAATACTATTGTGCTATAAGAAATAAGGGGAATGGGGGCAGCCAGATGGCACAGTGGATAGCGCACCAGCCCTGAAAGTCAGGAGGACCTGAGTTCAAATCCAGCCTCAGACCAAACACTCAACATTAGCTGTGTGACCCTGGGCAGGTCACTTAACCCCCCCAAAAAAAGAAGAAGATGGGGAATGATTTCACAAAAACCTGATAAGACTTATATGAACTGATGCAAAGTGAAGTAAGCAGAGGGCAACATTATATGTAGTAACAGTGTTATTGTAAGGATACTCAGCTTAGAAAGGCTTAGCCACTCTGGTGGTCAAGACGATGAGTCACGACAGTCCGAAAGAACACATGATGAAAAATGCTGTCCATTTCCAGAGAGAGAACTGATGAACTCTGAGTGCAGATAGAAGCATACTTTTTTTCTTTTGTTGTGTGTGTGTGTGTGTGTGTGTGTGTGTGTGTGTGTGTGTGTGTATGTGTTTTCTCTTTTGTAGCATGGCTGATATGGAAATATATTTTATGTGACTCCATGTGTCTAATCAATACCATACTGCTTGCTTTCTCAAGGGGTGAGAGAGGGATAGGATGGAGGGAGAGATTTTAAAGCTCAAAAAAAATGTTAAAGTATATTTAAAATAAGTAATTATAAAAAGACAGCCCTGGTGGGAACAGAGAAGCAAAGTTCCCCAGTAATGGGTCAGATGTTCCCAATATTTAGGGATAGGAATATCAGGGAATTCAAAGGAAAGAAAGGGATTAAGGCATCCTAAGAGTAGGAGTCCCCAAATGGAAATTTTCCTGGTAGGACAAGAAGGCACCCTTGGGAGAGGATTTTGACCAGAAGGGTCTGTCTGCTTTCTGCCTTTCCCTTTTCCTTCACACCTCTTTTTTCCTCTCCATTTATCTGCTTCCCTGCAACTTCACCTTTAGAACTTTTAGTTTTCTTTTTCGTCTTCCCTGCGCTCATGTTACATAATAACACACAAGACCTTGGTTCTTGGTTTGTTTTTATGTATAGTTATCGCACATGACTCAGCATGCTCTCCCCTTTTCTCCTCTCCTCCCTGCCCTCTCCCACACTTCTCACATAACATAGACTTTGTCCCTGATGCTATCTCCAAGTATGGTTTTACTTTTGACCTGCCATGCTCTGCAGTTGTACTGCCAGTAAAGATGGCCAGCTTATCATTCCACCTTGGTTCTGTTCCTTAGTTACATGTGTTGGGACTGGATTTTGGACAAGTATTTGAACATCCAGGCAAGTGAATATGTATATTTTCTAATGCAAATCCTTTTTTAAAAAAACTCCAACTGTTTAAAAAATTACATACTGTTTTCATTCCTTAAAACAGTTAAAACAGGGGGTAGCTAGGTGGTGCAGTAGATAGAGTACCAGCCCTGAAGTCAGGAGGACCTGAGTTCAAATCCAGCCTCACACCAGACACTTGACATATAGTAGCTGTGTGACCCTGGGCAAGTCACTTAATCCCAATTGCCCCCCCCAAAAAAACCCAAAACCAGTTAAAATAGTTATTCACATTAGATTATATTAAAACATTTGCCATCTGATGCAACTGTTACAATTTTTTTTAAAAAGAAGAAAAAGTAATATTATAGGGAGGAAAAAAACAGGTTGAGAAACTGTATCTTCTGCCCCACTTTGTTCATCAAACTGAGACTGTGCTAGACAGTTCTCTTAATGTCTTTTTTTTAAAAATCATTTTTATTGGGACAGCCAGGTGGTGCAGCGGATAGAGCAATAGCCCGGCAGTCACTCAGGAGGACCAGAGTTCAAATCCAGCTTCAGACACTTGACACTAGCTATGTGACCCTGGGCAAGTCACTTAACCCCATTGCCTAGTTTAAAAAAAATTTATTTAGTTAAATATTTCCTAATAACATGTAAAAAAATTTTTAAACAAACATTTTTTTTTTATTTTGTTTTCAAAATTCTGTCACTCCCACCACCTTCCCTCCTTGAGAAGGCGAGCAATATAGTATCAATTGTACATGGGAAGTCACACAAAACATATTTCTTGGCCATGTTATAAAAGAAAATGCAAACAAAATAAAACAATAAAAAGTTTGAAAAATTATGCTTCAGTCTCATTCAGAGTTTATCAGCTCTTTCTCTGGAGGTGGATAGCACTTTTCATCATGGATCCTTAGGAATTATCTTGATCAGAGTAGCTAAGCCTTTCATAGTTGATCATTGCAATATTGCTATTAATATGTACGATGTTCTGGTTCTGTTCGTTCCACTTTAATCGAGTTCATATAGGTCTTCTCAGGTTTTTTCTGAAGCTATCTTGCTTTTGTTGTTTCTTGTAGCACAATAGTATTCCATCACAATCATATGCCATAACTTATTCAGCCATTCCCCAATTAATGGGCATCCCTCAGTTTCTGATTCTTTGCCACTACAAAATGACCTGCCATAAATATTTTTGTATAAATTGTTTTTTTCTTTTTCTTTGATCTCTTTGGGATACAGACCTAGTAGTGGTATTGCTGGGTTAAAGGGTATAAACAGCTTTGTAACCCCTTGGGCATAGTTCCAAATTGTTTTCCGGAGTGGTGGACTAGTTTACAACTCCACCTAACAGTGCGTTAGTATCTCAATTTTTCCATATCCCCTCCAGCATTTGTAGTTTTCCTTTTCTGTCATGTTAGCCAATCTGATAGGTGTGAGGTGGTAACTCATAGATTTTAAATGTGCATTTCTCCAATCAGTAGTAATTTAGAGCATTTTTTCATGTGACTAAAGATAGCCTTGATTTCTACTGAAAACTCCTGTTCATATTCTTTGACCGTTTATCCCCTGGGGAATGTCTCTCATTTTTATAACTCAGGTTCAGTTCCCTATTTATTTGAGAAGTGAGAAACTTCTCAGAGAAACTTACTGTAAAATTTTTCTCCAGTTTCCTGTGTTCCTTTTAATTTTGGCAGTCTTAGTTTTGTTCAAAAGGTTTTTAATTTCATATGATCAAGATTATTTATTTCAATTCCAGTAATCCTTTCCATCTCTTGTTTGGTCATAAACTCTTCTCTTATACAGAGACCTGACACGTACATTTTTGCCATGCTCCCCTTATGATATCACCCTTTATGTCTAAATCATTTATCCATTTTGACCTTATCTTGATTTATGGTATGAAATACTGGTCTATGCCTATTTTCTTCCATACTGCTTCCCAGTTTTCCTAGCGATTTTTGTCAAATGTTGAATTTTTACCCCAAAACCTTAGATCTTTGCATTTATTAAACACTAAATTGCTTTGGCCGTTTACTACTGTGTATTATGTACCTAATCTGTTTCGCTGATCCATCACCCTCTCAGCCAATACCAGACTCTTTTAATGATTACCACTTTATAATATAGTTTGAAATCTGGAACTGGTAGGCCACCTACCTTCACATTTTTTTTTCCATTAATTCTCTATGTTCTTGATCTTTTGTACTCCCATATGAATTTTGTTACTATTTTTCTTAGTTGCGTAAAATAATTCTTTGATAGTTTGAGTCTTATGACATTGAATAAATAAATTAATTTAGGTAGAAATGCCATTTTTTACTATATTGGCTTGGGCAACCCATGAGAAATTAATAGATCTCCAATTGTTTAGATCTGTATTTCTATGAAAAATGTTTTGTAATTGCTTTCATATAATCCCTGGGTTTGTCTTGGCAGATAGACTCCCAAGTATTTTATCTTTTCTACAGTTATTTTAAATGGAATTTCTCTACCTCTTCCGGCTGGGTTTTGTTAGTAGGATATAGAGATTATTTATGTGGGTATATCTTATATCCTGCAACTTTTGCTGCAGTTGTTCATTATTTCAGCTAGTATTTTTGTTGATTCTCTAGGGTTCTCTAAGTATACCATCATATCTTCTCAAAGAGTGATAGTTTTGTTTCTTCATTGCCTATTTTTATTCCTTCAATTTCTTTTTCTTATCTTCTTGCTATAGATATTATTGAAATGGTCAGTTATGCTGATAGTTTCCTCATGTTGAATCAGTCCTGCATTCCTGTTATAAATGCCACCTGGTCATAGTGTATGATCTTTGTGATATATCGCTGTAATCTTCTTGTTAGTATTTTATTTAAAATTTTGCATCAATGTTCATTAAGAAAATTTGTCAAAAAAAAAAAAGAAAAGAAAATTGGCCTGTAGTTTTCTCTTCCTCTGTTTTTACTTTCCCTGGTTTAGGTATCAAAACCACATTTGTTTCATAAAAGGAATTTGGGGTTCTTTACCTGTCTTTTCAAATAGTTTATATAGTATTGGGAAATAGTTTATGTAGTATTATATAGTATATATTAATTGTTCCTTCAGTGTTTGGTAGAATTCATTTGTAAATCCAAATGGTCCTGGGGAATTTTTCTTAGGCAGCTCATTGGTGGCTTACTCAAGTTCTTTTTGTAAGATAGGTTAAGTATTCTATTTCGTCTTCTGTTAATCTGGGCAATTTATGTTTTTGTAGATATTCATGCATTTTATTTAGTTTTACTGACATAATTAGGCAAAACTAATTTAGATGTGAGCTTCAAGCATTGTACCCCACACCCCCCCCATTTTTGCATCCACTGTAAAAACTCTTCCTTGCTTACCTTTTTTTATGTGAGATTATTTTCCCCATTCTTTCTCTCCTCCTCTCTTGTACAGCATCCCTCTTGCCTATGTATTTGGGTTGGGTTTTTTTTTTTTAAAACATCATCCCAACATAACTTCACTCCTGAACATTCTTTCTAAGTATAATCTTTCTTACTGTCCTAATAATGATAAAGTTCTTAGAGGATAAATGTATCATTTTCCCATATAGGAAGGTAAATAGTTTAGCATTATTGAGTCCATTATGATTTCTCTTTCATGATTACCCTTTTATACTTCTTTTGAGTCTTGTATTTGAATGTCACATTTTCTATTTATGCCTAGTCTTTTCATCAGGAGTCCTTGGTAGTCCTCTATTTCATGGAATGTCCATTGCCCTCCCCAAAAGGATTATGCTTGGTTTTGCTGAGTGCGTTATTCTTGGTTGTAATCTCAGGTCTTTTGACTTTCTGAAAATCATTCCAAGCTCCACATTCCTTTAATGTGATAGCTACTAAATCTTATGTGATCCTGACTGTGACACTACAGTATTTGAATGGGTTTCTTTCTCACTGCTTGAAGTCTTTTTCCTTGACCTCTGAGTTCTGGGATTTGGCTACAATATTCCTGGAAGTTTTCATTTTGGGATCTCTTGCACGTGGTGATGGGTGGATTCTTCTGATGTCTATTTTATTTCCTAGATTCTTAAAAGTGAATTGAGACTTTTAGGAGCATGCCAGCTTAATAAGGGAAACAGTGTGACTGAGGCAACTCAAGCTTAAATCAAATTAGATTGATTGTCAAGATAGTTTGGAATAATTCTATCAATATAGAATAAAAACATTTATGCATGTTTTTGTTGTTTATGTTGTATGTTTGGTCAGATGTCTTTAACAGTTTACAGTTAATGGGTTTCATTTCTCTAGATGACTTTCTTTTCTCCTAATACCCCCCCAGAATGTTCAAACTCATTCTTCTCATTTCCAGATCTCCCCTACAGTCATCACTCCTCACCATTAAATAGCCTCTCAGTCTCTTAGTTCTGACCACTCTTAGAGATACCTGGACTGTGCATTGGGACACATTTACTTTGTTCTTTATAATCACATTTTTATTTTGAGCAAAATTAGAGACTTTGCTGTTTTTCTGGTTTCTGTAAATTCTTCAAATTATTTAAAAGTTTTAGGTAACTTTGTTTCCTTTGAAGACTTTTGATATGGAAGTATTTAGCTTTCCTCTAGTGCCTTGTTTTTTTGTTTTGTTTTTTTAGTTCCCTTTCAGAATTCATGTCCCTCGTTTTAAAAAATTGTGTTTAAAACTCGGTTTTGTTCTCTTTTAGTATCCACCAGGCTATGAAAAAGCCATGGCAAGTAAAGAAAAGAAAGATAACATTAAAAAGCCACCTGTGGTGAAGGGTCCAAGCAAACGAAGCAATGACAAACAGAAAAGATCAATTGATGGTATGTTATGTGATTTTTGGAAACGTCATAAAATAGTTTTGCAAACTAAGAAGAAAACAATTTTGATTATTGAGGGATTGGAGAAAGGATATTGCTTTCACTTTAGACTAAGGACCTAATGTCAAAATAATGATTTTTTTCATGTGTTTTTAATTTACTTTTTATTTTGAAAGTAATTAAAAACACATACTGTCCGTCATTAATAGGCAAAACAAATAAGAAAGAGAATGGCTAGGCCCTAATTCTGGCTCTACCAGTAGTTACATCGCTGTGGACTTCACTCCACTGGGTCTCATTTCCCTTATAAATAAAACGAGAGATTTTGACAGACCTTGCAGCATCCTGACAGTTCCAAAATTCTGTAGATCTCTAATTTTTTCTTGAGCTCAGTTTTATAATTGACCTTTATCTATAACTGTACCATTGCCTAAGGGAAAGTATGGTTATTTAACTAATTAGACTTGTTTCACAAATGAAGCTCCTGATACTTGCTAGTTTTTTGCTTCATGGTACTGCTTAGACCTATTGTGTTTTTTTCTACTGACAATATATCTCAGTAGGTCAAGTTGAGCCTGGAAGTGGCTCCAAAACCAGAAGAATGACAGATGAAGGGAAAGCTGAGACTTTCCAGCTGACCACACAACAGCAGAGCCTGATCAGACAAGACTGCCCGAACCAGAAGCTGTGGGATGAAGTGCTTGCGTCTCTGAAGGAAGGGCCAGTATGTTCAAATTCAATTATGATTATAGTGTTAAGAATTACCAAAAAATACATTTCCTCTGTTGAGGTTGTAGGGCTTTCTGATTCTTACAGATGTCTATCTTCTTGCTTGTCATTCACTAGAGACATCATGTTAACTAGAAATTACAGGTGCTTGTGTATTCTTTTCAGAGATAATAGCCAAGTATAAGATCTGTTTTTACCTGTGCTACCAGGCCTTTTGGATGTTACCCCTTGAATTTTCTTTAACTAGCAATTTGTTATATGTAACTGCATATTGGCAAGCAATCCTAACAAAGCCAAGTTTTGTAAGTGTATTCTTCTAAAGCCCAGGAAAATGTCTCTATCATAACTCTGACTTATGTTGTTCTCATTTTACTCATTTATGCAACTAGGTACAGTTCAGAAAACACAAATATACAACTTGTAGAAACTGATCTCTTTAAAAGCTACATACCACATGTGTAATGTACTTTGAAAGTGTTTCAATATATTTTTGGTTATTTATGAAGCAGTGTGGTGTAGGGCATTGAATTTGAAGGAGAATCTGGGTTTAAATACTAGTAGTCATATTTATTAACTATATAACCCTAGGCAAGTCACTTAAATTCACTCATCTTCCATTTTCGTATCAGTAAATTGCAGTGATAATAATTTTGCCCCACCTAATTTCTTCACAAAGTTATTTAAGAGAGAAAACATTTTATAAGCCTTATTCTCTAGAAATGTATGTTATTATTGGTATTATTGCATCCTCATTTACCAAATTATAGAGTTGTCATTTCTGCTAATGCTTTATAGATTCGATTGCAGAGTAGTTTGGGGTGAGGGGACATCAAAATATAGCTGTTGACATTTCAGGTATTTTAGATTAGCATTAAGGAAGCATCCTGTAAGTGCATCTTTATTCTTGTAGAAACATAACGTTTATGTGCACAGGAAAGCAAGGAATTCCAGTTAAGTCTGCAGAAGGCCAAAAGAAGCCTGGAACAAGAGTCCAGAGGCCTAGGCTCTGACTTTGGTTCTACCACTAAGAAGCCAAGAGTTGGACTAAGTTATTTCCCTTTTCTCAGCCTCAGTTTTCATGTTATTAAAATTAATGGGTTTGACTAGATCTCTAAGCCATATCACATTTATGATCATAGTATCATAACACATAGGAAACATTTTTAAATACTTTTTTAATTGAATTATCTCTTCTAGCTCTAAAATATCATCAATCTGGGTGATTGTAAAGGCTGTGACTGCGCAAACTTTTCTCTCATGTTTCTCTCATTCCAAGCTAATCATTTCATGTGAAGAGAGACTAAGAAAAGGGAAAGGAGAAAAATGTTTTTCTTCTTTTTCTTGGGGTCATGGGATGATTGTTTGAGAGCTGGAAGAGATGTGGAGATCATCTCATCCTACCCACACATTTTAGGAATGAAACCAAATGTGTTGAAGAGAAGCAAAGTGACTTGCCCAAGATGATGTAAGGAGTAAATAATAGGGCCAGGATTCAAACTCTACTCCTTTGACTCCAAACCTGCTGCTCTTTTCTATTGCACCATGGTTTCAGTTGTGAGTGTCCTAACACTATTAAATGTACTGCTTTTTGAAATACGTTATCTTTGATCTCTGCCCTGCAACTAACTAATCCTGAGAATTTTTTTAAAATTATAATTTTTCTAAAATATAAAATATGCTCTTGATCAACCAAAGTTAAAAGCCAATCTATGAATTACATTTAAATCAACCTTACAATTGTACTCAAAAAAACTTTCCTCCTACTACACATACCCTGCCCCCCAATACAGCTACTTATCTTTTTAAAACAAAACAAAAAGCCCATCTCTTCCCTTTACTTTTTTCCCTCTCAAACTTCCCTTAAAATGTGCATGGCAAATTATTCCAGTTAAGTAATGGAGTACTGATTCCATTTTATTAATGACCTATACAAATGATTGAATGAACCCAATTGTAGGAATAACACCATATAATAGAAAAAGTACTTGACCTTTGGAGTCATAATAACTTGATTTGAAGTGCTGGCCCCATTATTTACTTAGTTGTATGACCATGGGCAGGTCACCTCTCTCTGACTCTCAAGTGTATCCACCCATCTGTAAAGCAGGAATGATTATACACACTTTCACTACCTACCTAACCAAGTTATTGAGGGCCAAATGAAATGTGTGAAAGTAATTTATTTATATAAGCTCTTGTTTTCCCTTAATTCTGCAGGTGCTACATTCTCTCCTTAAATATTTCCAAAGTTCTGAAAAGAGTCTAGTAATCCTAAGGGGGAAAAAAATAATCATTTGGCCATGTCTCCTAACATCAAGTCCTTAAAAGCATTTTCTACTCTTGCCTCTTTTCTGAAGATAAAAATATTTCAAGCAACTTGAGCCAATTCTGTAGCTTCTGTATAGGGTTGAAATTCTGGGTCCTAGTCTCCTGAATAGTCCTTTCAGCGGTGCCTCTTTTTCCTAATACCATAAGCAGAAATGCACTCCTCTCCTTATTCATTTTATAAGCTATAAATTCTTGACTGCTTCAGAAAATTAGCATTCCTATATCAAATTCAGCAGTAGTTGTGAACTCTTTGAACTTCTATCTTTTGCTTATAAATGATTTTTATCAGGTGGAGAGCCACCCTATTCTTATACATGGCCTTTGAGATGTGCCTGGGACATTTCAGCTACTTCCAACACTGTCTACAGAGTAGGAACAGAAGGAAGAATCAAAACAGTCCAGGACTACCTACAGAAGATTAACATATAACTGCAGCTGAGCTTCACCCCATAAAAGGAAGGCAATGGTGTAAATATTTGAAAGTACTTGGGAATGGCAGCAGTGTCTGTAGAGCCTGGACTCCCCATTTGTGTCGCTGCCTTAGGGGTTAAAGCCAAGTGTAACATGTAGGAGCAGATTTTTCTTTTTAACTGCTATTGAAATATATCTATGATTCAGGAAGTTAGAAACACCAATTTGCAAAATTCATTTTCTCATAAAAAATTTTAGCTGTAGATAGGAATTTTTCTTTCATTCAAAATTTTATTTGGAAACTGTAAGAAAATGCTAACCTTTCTACCTTTGCTTCTTGGGTGCTATTCTAGAATTTTCTGAAAATACTGGAACAGTCTTTCATGTGTGTCTGCTGCCAGGAATTGGTCTACCAGCCAGTGACAACGGAGTGCCTCCACAATGTCTGTAAAGTAAGTCTGGTTAACAGCATGAGCTCACTGAACTTATTCTGTTGGGAAAGCTCAGGTTCTGAGCTTGTTATGTTTTATGGGGCGGACCAGGAAAAGCATCTTTTCTTTGAAGAAGAGCAGTTAATTGATGAGGTACTTTGGTGCTATAATGATGAGTGTGGTCACATTTGCTAATAGAAACTTGCTGTTTTTACCCAGAAAACAGCTGATTTTCAATTTTCTACCTGATAGAGGGTATCCCAAAAGATTTAGTGCAGTTTAAAGCTTCAAAACTGCTCTAAAAAAAAAAAACATAAAATGGCAGTAAAACTTTGGGGACAACTGTATTATGAAAAAGGTTATCTAGAATCATTTTATAAGCATGATCTGTACACCAGATTGGCTCACATAATTCCATTTTAAATTAAGCCATAAAGAAGCCCTTTTTGGGACAAACTGATTTCTTTTGAGGGGATCTAATATAAATATGAAATATTATGTATTTGTATTCTAAGTCAGCTACTTCAAACCAGTTAAAAATGTTATATGCCACATTGCTTAAGGTATGGTGTATAAATATCATAACTAATAGATGTGAGTATAGTTATATATAGGAAGAAAGACATTTTTCATTCAGTGGTTGAAATTGTTGTAATGTAAAAGAAGTAACTCAAAGTCAAGAGGCATTTAGTAAGTGTTTACTATATGCCAAATAATGTACTAAGAACTAGCAATACAAATATAAGCAAAAATAATGACATTCCTCGCCCTCAAGGAGCTTACATTATAATGGGGGAAGAAAACACATAAAAGGAAACTGTGAAGCAGTGGAGAAGAATGGAGCAAGAAGGGCAGCTTAAGGTACCCAGAACAGCAGGGGCATGGTAGAGAAAGTCCAGGATTAGTCATCCAAAATACACCTTAATAAATGTTTGACTGACAGGCACTGTGTTAAAAGCATTGGAGGTACAAAGAGGGGCAAAAAACAGTCTCTGCTATAGAGAAGCTCACAAGCTAGTGAGGGAGAACACAAGCAAACACTTATGTACAAACAAACTATATTAAGAATATATTAGACATAATCATCAAAGAGAATGCACTTCAGTTGATAGTTTTGGAGGAGGCTTTCACAAGAAGATGAGATTTTAGTTTAGGGGTTGGAAGGAGGGCAGGGAATACAAGAGGCAGAGGATATTCCGGCATGGAGGGACAGCCAGTGAAAATACCCAGAGTCAGCAGTGTCTTGTGTTGGAGAACAGCAAAAGTGTCATTGGATTAAAGATTCCATAAAAGAGTGTAAAGGGTAAAAAGACTAGAAAGGTAGAGAGGCTAGGTTATGAAGGGCTTTTAACTCCACACAAAGGATTTTCTATTTGATCCTAGAAGTGATAGGGAGACACTGGAGTTTGAGTGGGGTGTAAGGAGAGGGTTGATGTGGTCAGACCTTCTTTAGGAAGATCAGTTCAACAGCTGAGTAGAGGATGAATGGAATAGGAAAAGACTTGGGGCAGGCAGATCAGGGAGCAAGTTGTTGCATTAGTCCAGGCCCAAACAGCCTACACGAGAGTGAAGGCAGTAGCAGAAGAGAGGAGCTGTATTCAAGAGCTGTTACAGAGGTGGACTTGGCAGACCTTGGCAGCAGTTTGAAATGAGGAATAAAAGAATGAGTCATGAAGAATGGCACCTGGTAGAATGAGTGACTAGGAGATGGTGGTGCCTTTGACAGTAATAGAGAAGTTTGAAAATGGGAAAGGTTTGAGTGGAAAAATGAGTTCTGTTTTAGACATACTGATTTTAAGTTATTCATGAGATTTCCAGTTCAAGATGTCCAATATGCAGTTGGGAAGAGATGGGAGGTCAGCAGAGATATTGGCACTGGATAGGTAGAGAAGGGGAGAGAGATAGGAGTACTCTTGGCTCCCAGCATTCTCTCTTGCTGTCTCCCATGCCTAGAATGCTCTCCCTCCTCTGCTCTGACTACCAACCAACTTGACTTCCTTTAGGTCCCAACTAAAATTCTACTTTCTACAGGAAGCCTTCCCTGAACCTTCTTAATTCCAGTGCCTTTCTTCTTTTAATCATTTCCTATTTATCTTGTATGCAGTTTTCTTTATGTATATTTGTTTGCTTGTGGTCTCCCCATTAGACTGTAAGCTCCTTGAAGGCAGAAATTGTCTCTTCCCTCTTTTTTTAACCTTCACTGCTTAGCACAGTGCCTAATATAGCATAGTAGGTGCTTAATAAATATTGATTGCTTGATTGAAGAGGGGCCAGGACAGAGCCCTGTGGGATACCCACAATTAGTGGGTGACCTGGATGGAGATCCAGCAAAGGAGACAAAGAAGGAGCAGTCGGATAGGTAGGAGCAGGAGAGCTAGGAGAAAGTGGTGTTCCAAAAACCTGGAGAGAAGAGGGTACCAAGAGGGAAGAGAGTGATTGATGGTATCAGGCTAAAGAGATTAGGAAAGACAAACACTGAGAAAAGGCCAATACATTTGTCATTAAAGAGATTATTAGTAACTTGAGAGAGTGCAGTTTCAATTCAATGATGAGGTTGGAAGCCAGACTGTTAGAGGATTAAGAAGAGAATAAAAAGGAAAAGAAGTGGCGGCATCTATTGTAGGTGGCATTCTCAAGGAATTTAGGCACAAAAGGTAGGAAAGACGTGGAATAACTACATGGATAGATGGATTGAGGGCTTTTTGAAGCTGAGTAGAACATGAGTGCAGCCTGGAAAGCAATGAAGACACGGCTGGCCTTGAGGATCCAGTGTGTGAAGTCTAGGGACGAGAGTGAGCTTCTAAGGTAAAGAGGTTTCTGGAACATTATAGAGAAAGTTCAAGGGAGTCAGGAGTGTAGTATGAAGAGGAATAAATAGACTATGCTTAATGGGTTTTCTGTGGTCAAAAGAAAAATGTCATTTCCTTTATATCTTTCCTCCTTCTTGTTTAACAATACAGTTGATTTCAATTCAACATTCAGTACACCTACCATGGGCAAGACACCAAGAATAGGTTGAGCACTGGGCCTGTGGCTTCATTGGGTTAGGGGACTTTGGAATAAGGAGGCTCCTTTTTTCAACCCAAACTGGCACCTTCTCTGAACCTAAAGGTTGTAACTTGGCCCAGTTTTTGTCAAAGGCAAGATTTGGACTCGGATCTTTCTTGCTTCAAGACCCACTTTATCCACTATACCACACTGCCTCTCTCAGGATAGACAGATAATTTCTGGAATTAGGGGATTGGACTCAATGGCCTCTAAGATCCCTTCTAGTTCTAAACCCAAGAGTTGATCATCACAGGAGCTTTCCTCTAAAAGAGCTCACAATTAATGTAGTGACAATGGGACAAGTATACGAATTACTATGAATGCAGAGGAGAGATTGGGGCAAAATGCTGTGAAAAAATTAAAAACTGGAGAGATCATTTTCATCTGCTATATGGGGCTTGAAGGAAGATTTTCAGTAAATGCTGGGTTTTCTCTGGCAACTACTCTCAAGCTTCAAAATTGATTTTCTCTTTTGTGTGTCTTAGAGTTGCTTACAGCGATCCTTTCGAGCTGAAGTTTTCACCTGTCCTGCTTGTCGTCATGACCTTGGAAGAGACTATACTATGGTTCCCAACAAGATCCTGCAGACATTACTTGACCAGTTCTTTCCTGGCTATAGCAAAGGACGATGACATGTCCAGCTTCTACTACTCCAGTGACTTTATAGACAATAAGACAATTCTATCATGAGAGAAAAGACAACAGTGGACCAATAGACTTACTGGGACTCAGCAGATTTTCACATTCTGAAGCCGCTAACCCTCTTTCCCACCTTGCCACCATTTTTTTTTTTGTAGTAAGAAATCCATTTATCAACTGTCTTTCAACACCAAAAGGTAGGGCCCACTTGTTGCTTATTGACAACTAGTATTAATAAAAATGGAGGCTTCAACCCTGACTGGTCAGCCTAGTTGATGCACAATTTATGATTTGTTTTATTTTGCAACTACCTCAGGACAGAGGAAAGGGATTTGGGGATGTTTTTAAAAAGCTAATTGGTCAACTGAAATTTTAGCTGCCTACTGCCTCCTGAATATTAGTTTACCTGGTCCATGCAATTTGATTTTCCCGAAGAATAATTAGCAGCACTTAAGCCAGATTATATGGTGTGCATAATCCTTTTTTAAATCATCTTTTCTTCCATTATGATGGTTTTTTTGTTTTGTTTTGCAAGAACGGGCTGATTCTGTCTATTTTTTGTGAGCTTCATTGTGCTTTCTTCTTGTATCTTATGCAGGTTGACTACTAATGACTAATGAAAACAATATGGATGCATTGTTGCTACATTAGTGTAATGTGATCAGTGTTTTTTGCACTTAAAAGAGGTATTCAAAACATTCTCATTGTGTAAAAAACGGTTTTATTAAACAAGCCACTTTTGTGTTTAAAAATGTATGCTTTCACTAGATCTTGTTAACAGTGGCGAACACATCTGCAGCGCATTGCATTGCTAGCTTGGAGAGGGTTGAAATCGCTTCATATTGTGATCTTAAATTTTATATACAGTATATTCCCCCAAAGTTGTACCTTATTAAATATTTTATGATTCAAAAAAAATCATTATTTTTGTTGCCTCGAGTTGCACATCTTTGCTGACATCATGAGTTTTAAGAAGTAATCACTTCAGGAGTTTGTTCCATGAGGAATTTTTATAGGATAGACATTTTGTACAAAATTGTATTTAAATTTTTGTGAGGACTATAATTATTTGCATTGTCTAGTGCTTAACTTGTGAAAATTGAGCTTGAGTTTGGTTGTAAATTACTCTGACTTCACAAAGCTCGTAGTACAAAAAACTCTCAGGGCCATCTTTTTCATAATTCTCATTTTAAGCAAGGCATTATATGTTTAAAATATCAGAATATTCACCAATATCCTTTTTTTTTTACATAAGAAAGGAGAAACACATCTTAATACGTCCAGAGATAAGTTATTTCTGTGTTTCTAGTTTATAATAGGCTACGTTCATCTCTTGAGGCTCTCCCCTTAGCAACCTAGGTAAATGAGTTTTAATTTGGGGAGGAGGGGCTACTCAATCTTAATTCTTGTCATTTACTTCACTAAGGTTACATTTTCCTTTTCCAGTATTCTTGTGAACTAGGTATAGCTTTTTGTTTGTACCATCTCCACTTGATATAACTGTTTAGATGACTTAATATTTTAGAGAGAAAATCTTTTGACAAACAGGCATCTTATACTGATAGGGCAGAGTATTAAAGTCCTTAACTAGTCATCTGTTTCTATGACTTATGTCATAAGCAGAGTGCTAATATTTTTAGTTTTTAAAAATTATTAAAATTTTCAAACAGAAATTTCTGTATCTCTTAAGAAAGCACAGAAGCTTATCCACCTTTTTTATAATGTCGTCTTCATAGTAGCAGAAAAATTCAAGTATGGATAAACGAGTTTGGATGAAATTATCCGAAAATCACATGGATTTTTTTCCTGTAGCTTCATACCAGTGTCCCTAAAAATGACTGTCATTTATTGTTCAATCCCTTTTCTGTTTCTGTGATAAAGAATATATGAATACAAGCATTTTAAATGAGAAGTAACGCACATAGAAGAAACTGCCTCATGTGACTTCAGGTCACTGTTTTTAAGGTATTTCAACATTTCAATCTTTGGTAAAGAAGATAGCCTAAATTTACCTACGCATAAAAATCATGACGGGAATTTCGAAAAATTAATCACTTAGGAGACAAATTCTTGTTTATATGTATTTGAAATGCTTTTTAAAAAATGTGGCAATGAAGGACAACACAAGTTTATATGATAAACTTATTTGTAACATCTTACAGAAAAGGAAGATGGAAGATGACGAACAGTACTGTTTCTAAAATAGCAAGAAACAGTAGAAGGAAAAACAAATTCAAAGGAAGTTTGGCAAGAGAAGATACCTAAGATACCAAGGGCATTTAAAGATGCCACTGCCAGGAGGACAGCAAATGAAAGATTGGAAAGATCTGCAAAACTTTTATAACATTTTTTTCGTTACAAAAGGATAGAGACACATCACATTTGGATTCAGTATCACAGTCCAAATATGATTCCTGAAGTGGAAGTAGCATTGAAGAAAATAAAGATGGGATAAGCAGCTGAACTAAACTAAGTATATACAAGAAGGTTCATCTTGGAGGCAACACAGTTTTGAGGGCATTAAGGCATATGAAGAAAGGGGATGATACCAAAGGTTTGGGGGACATATGTTTCAGATCTTGTTACCCAGAAAGAGCTATCCAGACAACCTTAATAATGACCAGCCCATGTGCATATTTTCCTCTTCAGTCTTGTTTGTTGGATTATCATCTCTTTTTCAATCTCTGTGGGTGTGTGTCCCCAAGGCTCTGCCTGAGCTCTCTGCCATCATTGGAAGAACTGCTTAAATCAATGAGGTCACAGATCCACTTGAAGTAAGCTCACCAAAACATCATAAGAGAAGTAATTTTCTTTCCAAACCCAGAGAGCAGACAAAGCACTTCGTTGAATTCTTTTTTTTTTTTTGTATGGGAGTGTATAAATGTGTGCCCACACACACAGCAAAAAGTTTTCATGGTTGTTAAGGACCCAAAATGTTCCCTTCATCAGGAATTGTAGTTTTTAAAAAACATATCCTTGTGTTTTAAATATTCACTTAGCATTGTGAAATTTGAATTGGAATATTTAATTTGGAACTTAAATTCATAGATAATAGTACCTGACATTAATGTAGGACTTTAGCTTCTAAATTATTCTACTCATTCTATGCCATGAAATGTAGCCTTAGTGCTGGAAGGGCACCTCAAAGGCCATTTGTTTAAGTCATTTTTCAGTGATGTCTGACTGTTCACAACTCTGCATGGGATTTTCTTTTCAGATATACTAGAGTGGTTTGCCATTTCTTTCTTCAGCTCATATTATAGATGAGGAAACTGAGGCAAACAGGGTTGAGTAACTTGCCCAGGGTCACACAGCTGACATCTGAGGCCACATTTGAACTTGGGAATACTCATCTTTCTGACGGTAGGCCCGACACACTATGTACTGCACCACCTCAAAGGCCCTACTCCAGCCTTTATCTGAAAAAGAAACCTGCTATATATTTCTAACATTGTTTGACACTTTTTAATGAAAGTGGGACCTTTCAACCTAGCGCATTCTACTTTTTCACAGCTCTAATTATTTGAAAGTTTTTGCTAACTTCAAGCAGAACTGCCCCTGTAAAACTTCTAACTATGGTTCCTACTTTACTTTCTGAAGCCAGGCAGAAAAATCTAACCCCTCTTCTTCCTGGAGATATACCTATCGTCTTCCCACCCAAGTTTGATGTTCTCCACGATAAAAAGAACACTAATTCCTTTGACTGATCTTCATATGGCATAAACCTGAGGCCTTCTACCATTCCTACTTGCCTTCCTCTGGATACTCCATCTTATCAGCGTTTTTCCTAAAATGGAGATATGAAGACATGAAGAATGTACTGCAGATGTGTCTTGCTAGGGCAGAAAGAGGCACAATCTTTCCCCTAATTCCAGCAACTATCCTTTTTCTTTAAAAAAAAAAAAACCTAAGATTACATTAGCATTTTTGGTTTTCATAGCACCTTGTTGACTCACTGAGCTTGCAGTTCACCGAAAAAAAAAAAAAACACCAAAAAACCAGCCTAGTATTTTTTAGATCTTTTGCTATCTAAATTTCCAGGCCTCTACCACCTTGTACTTGTGATACTAATTTTTTGAACCCATACTGGACTTTACATTTACCTCTGTTTATCTAATTATATTTAGCCCAACATTCTAGCTTATCAGTAAATTTATTTGTACCTCAAAATGGGCCTTTAAATGTATAAATAAAATACGTAGGTTACAAAGGAAATTGTACTGAGTACAGTCGTGATTTTTTTTTAAAGTTCACATACCTCAAGTTAAGAACTCCTGGTGTAGAGATAACCTTTTATTTCAAGACACAAAGAGTAGTGACTCCATGAGAACTGTGGATAAGACCTAGTTAACATGCTGTACTGTTAGAGAAGTATTAAACATTAGCCTTCATAGCTGTTTCACCTGAGTTTTGTAGTTTCCTTCCTGAATTCCTTGCCCTACCAGTAACTCTTAAATTGGAATTATACAATGCAAAAGCATTGATGTCCCTTTCAGAAAACTCTAACATTGTGTGACTCTAAGTTTTGTGGCCTTTTTTACACCCTTTTGGGAACTATAATTTCTGTTGTTCATATGATATCCTTAAAGACAAAAAGGACCCTCCAAAAGCCTAATTTAGTACTGGCCCAAGACAGTGTTCCAGATATGTAGTTGATTCAAAGGGCACAGCCCTTCACAGTGAATTCACTTATTAATAATTGTGATTTCCTAACCAACTACAGTAAAATTTTTAAAAGCTCCTTAAAAATTCAGTCTAATTTATTAGATCTTTACTACCTGTGTCTTCTCCATGAAGACCCAAAAAGAAGAGTCCTTGGCCCCTGAGAAACCTCAGGACAGTGTGAAGGACAGATTAGCTATATGCAAGTCTTCTGAGTATTATCTATGTCTGACCAGCTACTGACCTTGTATTAGAATGTGTGAATTTAATTCATTGTTTAATGCCAACCAGAATAGTATCGACTAGATTTATCTTCTCTTCACTCTACTTCACAATGAACCCCTCCTAATTTACCATGTGTCACCAAGAGGTTTACAAAGTTATCTGGTCCCAATCACCCCTTCCTACTTCTACCCCAAATAAAATTTTAGGAGAGATTTATAAATTTAAATTTTTCTTTCTATCAAATCTTTATCTTCTCATTTTGGGGTAGAAAAATGAAGTAGACAAATATCCTAACTAGTATGCTTCCAGAGAAACTTCAGAAACCTACAGATTCAGCATACGTACACACAAATTATCAGGCAGATACCTTTGGGATCTAGGTGTATGTTATTTATAGCCTAAAGTTTGTAAAGAAAACTTGGCAAGTTAGGCAGATACCTTTCAATTAGATGTGGTCTCCTAGTAAGACTTCACCATAATTAGTTGTCCACACTAGGATGTTTGCATATTTTCTATGGAGTGTTCCTTGTACTGTCTCCCTTTGCCTACTGAAAAGCCAGCCTTCTACTTGGAGAAACACAGATTGTCCGAAGTAGAATAGATTGTGACCTGGCCAGCTTTCACATGAAAGGACCTTAACTGAAAGATTCTGATTGCGTAAGTTTGTTTTAGATCCCTTTCCATTTTAACAATGAACCTGGAACTCGAGTGGCATTGGCCCTTGAATAGCTGATGTCTTGAAAATGATACAAAGCTATGGTCCCTCAAGTACAGTCCATAAAGATCTTTGCTAAGGAATTGATCTTTTTCA